TCTCAAAATTTTTTTCAAATTCTTCCAAAAACAAGATATTAGGAACTCCTTGAAATTCTTTCAAAAACAAAACACCAGGGACCCCGAAGATTGTTTGAATTTTTTTCAAAAATAAAATACTAGAGGACACCGAGATTTTTTAAAATTGTTACAAAAAGATCACCAGAGGTCCCCAAGATTTTTTTAAACTTTTGCAGAAACCAGGGACCCCCGAGATTCTTTCAAATTCATTGAACAATCCGTCAAATTGTTTTCTAAGATAAAACACTTCGCGATTGTTTCAAATTTTTCCAAAAATAAAACACCAGAGGACCTCGAAATTTTTTTAAATTCTTATAAAAAGAGAAGTCCAACTGTCCCCAAGAATATTTCAAATTTTTCCAAAAATAATCATAAGAGGTACACAAGATTTTTTAAAACTATTGCGAAAAATAAAACACTAGGGGTCCCCCAGATATTATTGAAATTTTTGCAAAAGTAAAACACTAGAGGCCTTTGACTATCTTCAATTTTTTTTTTAATTTTTCCAAAGGAGCAATCGTTCAATATTTTTCTAAAATAAAACACTAGGAACCTTCGAAATTCTTAAAAAAAAAAAAATTAAAATAAAATAGCAGAGGCTCCCGAAAACTTTTTAAATTCTTTCAAAAACAAATCATCAGAGGCCCTAACAATCTTTCAGTTTTTTTCAAAAAATAAAACACAAAGGACCTCTAGATTTTTAAATTTTACAAAAAGAGAATTTAAAAATTTTCAAAAATAAAATTGCAGACGCTCTCAAGAATCTCTTAAATCCTTCCAAAAATAAATCATCAGAGACCTTAACACCCTATCAGTTATGTTAAAAAAATAAAATAAAAAAGACCTCTAGATTTTTTTAAATTTTACAAAAAGAGAGCTGAAAAAATGTGTCCAAAATTTGTTCAAATTTTGATAAAAATTGAAACACCAGGGTCTTCCGAGGTTTTTTCACACTTTTCCAAAAACAAATCATTAAAGGTCCCCAAGATTTTTTTAAACTTTTGCAGAAATTAAAACACCAGAGACTCCCGAGATTCTTTCAAATTCCTCTAATAACAAAACAACAGAGGCTTTCGAAAATCCTTTAGTTTTTTTCTAAGATAAAACACTAGGAGCTTTCGCAATTGTTTCAAATTTTCCAAAAATAAAACACCAGAGGACCTCTAAGTTTTCTGAAATTCTTATAAAAAGAGAACTCTAAATGTCCGCAAGAATATTTCAAAATTTTTCCAAAAATAATCATAAGAAGTCCACAAGATTTTTTAAAATTATTGCAAAAAATGAAACATTAGGGGTCCCCCAGATATTATTGAAATTTTTCCAGTAAAACACTTTTTGACTATCTTCAAAATTTTTTTCAAATTTTTCCAAAGGAGCGTTCATTCAATATTTTTCTAAAATAAAACACTAGGGACCTTTGAAATTCTTTAAAAATTTTCAGAAATAAAATAACAGACAAATCATCAGACACCTTAACACCCTTTCAGTTTTGTTAAAAAAACAAAACACAAAGGATCTCGAGACTTTTTTAAAGTTTACAAAAAGAGAGCTCAAAAAATGTTTCCAAGATTTGTTAAAAGTTTTATAAAAATTGAAACACCCTTTCCGTGGTTTTTTCACACTATTCCAAAAATAAATCATTAGAGGTCCCCAAGATTTTTTTTGCAAAAAATAAAACACTAGGGATCTCCGAAATTATTTCAAATTTTTCCAAAAATAAAACACTTTTTTTTGACAATCTTTCAATTTTTTTCTAAAATAAAACACCACGGGCCTCCAAGAATTTTTCAATTTTTTCCAAAACCACAAAAGTTCAATATTGTTCTAAAATAAAACACCAGGTACCTTCGAAATTCTTCAAAATTTTGTCAAAAATAAAGCAGCAGAGACTCCTAAGATTCCTTTAAAACCTTCCACAAACAAATCATAGGAGAAATCCAAAGATCCCCAAGATTTTTTCAAACTTTTCTAAAAATTCAAACACCACGAGCTTCCGAGGTCCAAATCGATACGACGACTGGTTTTCGAAATATTAGATTTCAAAGTCAAATTTTTGAAATAAATCTAGCATAATCATCATATTGTCGATTTTGAAAAAGTGGTGGGAATTTCCGAGGAACTGAAATCCTACACAATTTCAAGGGATCGAAATCAATTAAAAACATCTTCTTTGTTAAATTTTCGCGCAGTTGTCTAAAAATCCACAAAAAATTTCGGGAGACAGATTTCGATAAACTGAATTCAAAACCATGTCATGTTTATGGTCCCAGTCCAAGATTGAGGAATATCATCTAAACTTTTAGAATCATAGTATTACCTTGTTAAAGACGTATTTCGCACGGTTCCGGAAAAACTGAAGAGCCAAAAATTATGAAAAAAATTGAGTTTACGCAAAAATCGTAGTTTTGTTAGAGAGAATAATCTCAAGTCTACATCACATCTGGTTTTAGAAGTATTCGGTTTCAAAGTCAAATTTTTAACATAACTCAGAAATTGTCACATTTCATTTTCCCGATTTTGGAAAAATGGTAGGAATTTTCAAAAATCGAAGCCGCAAAACTCTCCAGGAAACAGAAATGAAGAAAAAAATCTCCTTTGCTAAATTTCGGAGGTGCTTAAGAAAAGGTCGAAAATTTCAAAAAGAAAGTACCTACTAAAAAAGTGGGCTTTCCGAGGAATTATCTAAAAATTTACTAAAAATTCTGGGGACAGATGTGGACGAGATAAATACAAAAATATGGGTGAATATTATCGAAAATTCTAAAACTTCAAGGTATAGAAATCTATTAAAAAAAATCATCCCCTTTTATAAATTTCGAAGGTTATTGAGGGCGGGTCAAAAATTCCAAAGCGAGAAATATCGAAAAATTGAGCTTTTCGCGAAGTTGTCTAAAATCCACAAAAATTATACCACAGCGGAGCCCAAAAATATGGCATGTTCATGGTTCTAGTCCAGTATTGAGGACTATCATCGAAAATTATAGACCCATAGGGTAGTTTTCTTAAAGACGCGGATTTAAAATATTTCTGGAAAAGTCAAGGCAACAAAAATTATCAAAAAAATCTTGTTTAAGCAGAAATGGTGAGGCTCTTTGGGAGAACAATCCCAAGTCGATACGACAACTGGTTTTCGAAATATTCGATTTCAAACTCAAATTCTTAGAATATCTCAAAAATTGTCATATTTCATTTTCAAAGATTTGGAGCCCTAGAAATTTTCGTAAGACAGAAATTAACAAAAAAATGTTTTTTGCTAAATTTCGGAGGTGCGTGAAAACGTGTCAAAAATTTCAAAGCGGGAAATATTGAAACAATTTTTTTTTGACGAAGTGGTTCTAGAAAAGCTAAGGGACCAATAATTATCAAAAAAATCTTGTTTAAGCAGAAATGGTGAGCTATAAAATTTGAAAGCAGTTTATCCAGTAGTTTCGGAGATTATCTGTCCAATAAAAACGATACAGGCGACCGACACACGATAACTTAATAATTATATTATATATTGCAGTTTTTTCTCATATATTGACTAATACATCATTTTCAAAATTAAATATTTTTCAGTTTCTACAAATTCTGCAGTTTTTATTTTATCGTTATTGAATTTCAAACTGAACAAAACATTCCCAAAATTCTTATGAAACGAATAACTAACTAATTATTTCCTTTTTAAACTCTACCTAAACAAGTAAATAAATGCTAAAATGATAAAAATTTAAAATACTGACAACCATTTACTCGTAAATTCTTAGTAATTACAACAGAACTCATTTTCTTGGCATAAAATAACCATCAATTCAGAAATAAATCCACTTACAACTGTTATGATTTTTTATGGATTTTTTTCATTATTTGATAACCAGTAATTGTGTGGTATTTACGAAGTTTCATGATTGTATTGTGTGATGTCTGTGTAGGTAGATTAATTTTGTTGTTGTGATATCCAAGAGTACCTACATCAGTCAACGATAAAAGTGTTACTTAGAATGAGTATCGACCCCCATAAATACGAAAAAAATTTCACACTTTTCCTACTACTGATTTTTGAAAATTTCAAAAGCCCAGCCAGATTTATGTGTAATAACGCAGGAATGTGGTTTTGAAAATATAAATGTGATATCATTAAATTATTTTCTGAAGTTCAAAGAATCCCGGTTCAGAAAAAAGTCCCGCCATTCAAAGTACGAAAAAATTAATATCGTCGCTTAAAGCCGTAACTGCAACCAGTGAAGTCGAAATTCACAATAGTAGACGAGTCGAAAGAACGCAACTTAAAAAAAGCGCAACTCATTCACAACGTGATAGTCCGGTAAAACCTCGACTTTGAAATTTTTTGTAATTTTATAAACAACAAAGGTCTCTTTCTCTCGAACATCCGGCCAGATCTAACGCAGGCGTTAATGGTAATCGCTTCCATAATAAATCAACTCGTCCTGTAAATCCAGTCCCGCGGATTATCTCGACTAATTTGACGATCAACGCGCAATGATGATTAATTTCCGACATAATTCATCGGCACCACCGTCGAATAACTCACCTTTTCTAAAATTAAAACCGAATCCTCGAAATTACCATCACAAAAAGCTCGCTTAATCCGTTTCTGGTTGCCGTCCGAGCAACGTATACTTACTATCCGTTCGTTTTTCCGAGCAAATTACCTATAATTGGAAGTTTTTAAGTAATATTTAAATAGCTGTTTAGCATCCAGTCGCTTCGATCCGCGCTTAATTGGATAAGAGCTTACTTCGACGTCATTCCACTCCAATAAAATTTAATCCGATTGTTTAAAGCGAGCGCACGCCACTGGTCCGCTCCGAGAACGTAATTAGGAATTAATCCGGTCTGTGTAATGCAATTAAGGCGAGTCCGGATATCGCGTCATTATCACCGAGACAATAAATAATTTGTAATGTGCTTACCTTGCGTCGACGAGTCGCCCTTTGGATCAGCTTAAGTCGGAGCGGGTCGGCCAATGAAAGACGGGATTTATGATAAACTATGTAGTTTATTTTGACTTTCATATACACTCACAAATTGAGAGCGGCTTAAGCCGTAGGATACAAACATTTACCTAGTAATTATTATTATTAATATTCATTGTCAGTTTTGTCTGAAAAAATAACGGAATCTTTGTTTATTGTAGTTTTGGTTGTTCGATCGAGACAGAGTGTGGAAACGAGATTTGTAAAAACGGAAAGAAACAATCCACATTATTTTGTCAGCTCACAATATGAAACTGTATAAAAAATCAGAGCATTTGTAACAATATGAACAAATAATTTTTATTTTTCATTTTTTTAAATAAAACAGTATTTAGTTGGTAGCAGCATAGCGGCGAAGCGGCATCCGCCTCGCGAACAGAGCGTCACTCTCTCACACATACGCAGTCGCAAATGTTTAAAACTAAACTTAAATAAAAAAAATATATTTACATCACAAAATGAGAGAAAAATAAATTAGTTTTCTATGCAGAGTTATGTAAAACTTAACCTAAATCACTGTTTGTCAAGTCTTACGCGGCGAACGTAAATAAAAACATCATCTAAAATAAAAGCTAATCTTAAAATAATTTATACAGAGTCAACACTTAGATCTACATCAGCACGGGTGATATTTACAAAGATGCAACGGATATGTCCTTATGATACATACTGGCTATACAAAAAGATCGGCTAGATCTGACAAAATCAACGATAAAAATACGCACAAGCGCCGATTGTGGGGGGCACTGGGACGAGACGACTGCACGCAGGACGAAAACAATAAATAACAAAATAAAATAAAACGAGGGTCCTAAGGGCGTTAAAATATATATATATATATACACACAAAAAAAAATAACATAACGTGGGACCAGTAAAACAAATTCATAATTTGGCCGTGCAAGGGTGGGGGGTGAGCATGCGTGTTAGTGGGGTGGGGGTGGAGTGGGGAGGAAATGCATCTTTGTAAACAGGTGAAGCGTTATGTATGAGAGCGAGTATTGTCCGAACTTAGAGAGCTCATCGTACAAAAGAAGAAAAAGTGGAAAATGTATAAAAGTCAACATCTGCTTCACGATATGAAATATATTAGGAACCACGTTGCGGACCGAGTCCAGCAGTACTCAAACAAATTCAATAAATACACACTGACTGCTCTATACATAGCAATAATAATAATAATATAATATGAATAGTAATAATAATCGTGTAATACGTCAGAGTGGGCGGGCCCACGTGTCACATTCACTTAGCATTGCTAGTTGAGGCCCTCGGGCCGGCTCGGCGCTCGACGGCGGGAAGGGGGCGGGAGGGGGTTAGTCGGGCGGGATCGGGTCGAGCGCGAGACGACCCGAAGCTCCGCGCTATATCAACAATCACACTTAGTTCCAAAGAAACTCACTATATGCGAGGCAGGTCATACCGAAGTATTTCCCAGTTTTGAGTTATTTTGGATACGTAACCTAGAATATATTTAAAATTTTAAATATATATCTACTACTATATATACGTACAATGCCGGTGAAAACCAACTTTTTTTTTAAAACATAATAACTATTATTACTTAAACACCGTATCGATTATTAGTAATTAGTAGGAACCAATTTCACTGCTGGCACGAGGGTGGATTTGGGTGAGACCATGAAAGCGGGCGTCCGTGTTCTCTTACCAGCTGATATAGTTACATATACATATATATGATAAATACAGCATTTGCCTTATCAACTTTTTAATAATTAGTGTCAATAATAATAAAAGTTTTTTTTGTAATAATTTATCGTTTTAATAATAATAATGAATAAAAAAGCGGCCACGTCCGTTGCGAGTCGTTTGAGGAACTGTAAGAACGTGGCCGATAGGAACTTGTTTTACTGGGCTACCAGGAGCCCGTGGACCCTCCTGGGCGCCGCATGCAGTTTATCTACATCTCGATATAGGAACATTGTATGTCGCAGTTTGATATACACAGAAAGTGAGGAACTCTGGCCCTGCTGACGGGAGCGCATCGTCTCGGCCGCTGCGGTTCTGGCCGCGGCGACCTTGAAAAATCGGACACGTGACCGCAGCTAGGATCGCGCGCACAACTCATAGTAACTATACGTTGCAATAGGAATCATCGGACCTACTCGACTATACAACATATACACAACTACACTGACACATCTACGATAAAACATAACATATCCATGATAACGTTCAAAAATATAGAATCAGCTGTAAATATATAATATGAATCATTCTCGAAAAATTGCTTATTACGTTAGGTTGGTAGTTGGAGTTCTGGTTTCATTGTCCTGTTCCTATTAGTGGCCGGCGCTGGTGAGGGGCTGCGCGACGTCCGGGGGCGGCAGAAACCGCCCCTTGCGCTCGGCGAAGGTGTTGGAGTTGGAGTCGAGGCCGCCGCGCTCGGGCGCCGCCTCCTGCGCGGCCCGCGCCGCCAACAGCGTGATCTGGTTCACCACGTCCTCCATCTCGTGGCTGAGCGGCGACTCGGCCGGGGGCGGCAGCTTGGCGGCGCTCTTCAGGTGCGCCTCGCCCTCGCAGTGCCGCCGCAGCTCCGGCGCGCTCTTGAAGCGCTCGCCGCCGCACGACCGGCACTCGTACCCGGTCTGCACGATGCGGAACGCCCCCCGACCCTCCTGGTTGCCGCCGTAGCACTGACGCTGGTGGACGAGGAGCGGCGACTCGCCGGGGAACGCGAGGCGGCACTTCTTGCACACGAAGCACACCTCCAGGTCCGTCTCGCGGACGGACGGCTCGGACGGCTTCTGGTGGGGGTGCGGATCGGGCAGCTTCAGGGACGTCACGCCGGGGTCGGAGTTCGGCGCCGCCACCTGCTCCAGGATCGGGGCGGGCAGCGGCAGGAACGACAAGCCCGAACCCGTTTCTAGAAGCAGTCCTCCGGCTCCCCCTGCAACAACAGAAACCCCAACGTCACAAACACATACAAACTCTACCTTTTCTCCACACACACCAAAACCAACCAAATTTTACCACGTACTATCCAGAAAATTAGTACACGATTACTTTAAGAGGAGTCACTAGGTTTGGCTCTTGTGGTGTTGTCAATATATTTACAGAATTTAATATCTCCATTATTCACAAACTTATTATTATATAGTAGTAATAGTTTAATTTTTTTAATTTTCTTGAAATTTTTGCATGACGTATTTAAAAAAAAAATCAATATTTCAGTTATTTACGCAAATTTTGGAACGCGGTTTTCACCACTGTTTTCAGCTTATAAAACTTTCTCGAAAACCGTCAGGTAGGTAAATATACTTTTTATAAATACATTTTTATATTTTTGATCGGCAGAATTTTTTTTATTTTTCTTCTTTGCATCTACGCAATTTATTAGAAATTCACTAATAAACTAATTAATAGAAAAAGATCTATCACGTAATTGTCGAAAGTTACTATCGCACGCAAAAGTATTGTCGGTACCCAGCAGCGAAAGTTATTAGACCGCTCCGCCTCCTCACGGCGAGTTTCCACAATCCCTAAACACTTTTCGATAGAATAAAGTGGTTTCATTACAGAAAATGTTGAATTTGAAACGAGAACATGTTGAGATAATATTTTAAACCATAGTAGAGTGACTTTTTTAACAATAATGAATCTTTATTTAATAAATTTATTAAATTTAATTTTTTATGATCCAGTGAGCAATCGAAAAAACTGTCGAATCTTGACAATTTGGAAATGACACAGGAAGAAATTTCGGAATGAAATGTATAAAAATTAACATAACATTTGTGTGTGTTTTAAAATGATGACACATATATATTTTATTGACTTTTTATACTGTTTTTTAATTTTCGTGTTTTTCTTCACTGACTTCACATTAATAATAATTTATTACATATTATTTTTTCCACATATGTACCTGACGCCAAACCAAATGCTCTGACCGTTTTAAGGTTATCGTAGGCATGGTAAAAGGCTAATCAAAACGTATGCGTTATCACCTCCCAAAAAAATTAATGACATCACAAAATTTTGCCGAATAAATGTTACTTAAATTTTATAGAATGACGTATATCTACACTTATGGTTTATAAATCCGTGTTGAGTTCTTACTCTGGACATTCAGATTTTTGGAAACAAACTTAAAATTATATAACAATAGTTATACTTTTGTAGTTGTGGTTTATGAGTGCGCCTTCAGCCCTGGATCTCCAGATTTACAAAAAAAGAAAATCAAAACTGTATAGCATAAAAATTGTAAGAATAAAAAATCCTGTTCGTCTATAAAACAAACTTGTTTTAGACAGAGTATTCGTAAAAAAACATATCTCCAAAAAAATGTACGTAGTAATCTTAGCTGGTGTTTATGTGATTTTATTACTAACAACGGAAAATAGCTCTTAATCTATATTGGATTAAAAATATTAACAATTATGTACCTCCAAATCTATCAATTTCTAATATAATAATCAGTACAATAGCATTCATTCCTCGGACGACTTGTACAAAATCGAATTCGCTGTCATAAATTAGAAGAATGAGCCGAGAATGCTAATATTACTTTAGGGTAGACTAACGACTTGAACTATGTTGAATTCAAACCCATTTTTTTCAATAATTGTTCATTTTTGTTCAAAAATTCTGCCAACTCTGTATCACCATTTTTTCGACATACATATTTTGACTTATTGATTTATGGTATATTTTGATTTTAATAAATACATTATTTATTATTGAAATAAATTGTACTACTAACAAATATTTCATGTGATAGGGACCTTTAAAGTACGCATCTTTATCTGTGTGAGGATTTTCAAGCGATTGTATGATGTTTAACAGACAAAAAAGAGGAAAAAATAGAAGACAATGATGCTTTTGTTACAAAATTTCTCTGTGACATTTTTTGGTTGATTAAACTGTTTTCAGGGGGTTAGAACATGAAAAAAGTTGCAGTTTGATGTATATTACATTTATATTAATACCATTTTATATTAGAAAAAAGGAAAAAAATGCTATACTTCCTCTAGCAAGTCTGAGCAAGATTTGATTTCTGTTGGGATTTTATATTAAACCTTAAACCTCATTAAGTTCATCGCCTACTACGATGAGCCTATATAAACTGCGCCAAAATTAGAGATATCCTGTATCTTGTAAAATAAACATTACGTCTTAGACAAAAGACAAATTTATACTGTTTATTCTGACTTATAAGGCATTTGATGTTGCATTCACTTTTATTATGGAAATGGTTTGTTCTTACTTCGATGACCGAAAGACTATACAGAGGATCAGGGCTTGATTGCCGCAAGGTTCTGTCTCGGGCCCTTTATTATTTTCAATGTTTATTAATGCTGTTGTAAATCAGTTCTTTTCAAATTGTTTATTGCATATATACATATATACAATCCAGAAAATAAAGTCTACGTTTCAAAAATCACACACACAGTTATGTTAAAATTTATATTGTGTTAAAGGCTAGTTCATAATCACAATGCTCAAACGGGAGCAAATTTGGGTATTAATTACGACATATTTAGCAAAAAACATAATACTACATATCATAATCGTATCAAAAAATGTATCTGAATAGTCTTATCACGTTGCGAGCATATGTCATATCGTGTAAAAAAGCAGTTTACGTGTGAAAATACTGCACCGACGCAAGCCAAGTGCACATCAATTGAAAGTTATCGTGTTCGATAGGGGTGTATAGTTTTGAAACGGGGGTCTCCCATCGCTCGACTCTCCCCTGCCGCCGGATCTGCGCTCCGGACGGGCACCGCGACCCTAAAAAAATATCGAACGGCCATTAAAACGTCGATCTTTAGTTTTGAGTTTGTTTTATTATTATTACCTCGCTCCGGATTATTCCGGAATAAATTAGTTATCGATCGCGATCCGGCCCGGATTTTTTATAGGGGTCCATAAACAATAGTGAGCATCGCCGAAATTGCGTTCGAGCCACTTTTTAATTATATCGCGGTTTTGATTAAAAAATCCCGGAGTCACATAAAAAATAAATTGCCTATTTAATTGCATCCGAGCGGGTGGAGCTCGCCCCTGCGCCGATTGAGATCGCCTCCAGAACGCAGCTGGTCGGCTGTAAAGCGAGGGCGAGGGTTTCTTAAAATTTACTTTTTCGCTCCGCGAGTTATAATAGCGAAGGGAGGCTTGCCTTGGGGTGAGATATGGATTTTTGCTTCCGACGCGCAGTTTTTCTGAATTATAAAATATCTTCGTTCGCTACAGCGGATCGTTATATATTGAAAACGCCGGGATTTTTCTTCAATTCGGAGCGACAATCCCTGGCAGGAAGACGCCGAAAAGAGCGGATGTGACGGAGGGACTAATTATAGTGTGAACCGCTCTTAACAAATTGTAATTAGTACCTTAATAGGGATACAGTAGTTAAACTAATTACGTAAACAATTTACACCAGTAATTGTGACAGAGCGGAGGCGTTCTGATCTGTCACGCGTTATATAAACAAAGCTTGCTTCGCGCGTCAATATTAATTGTGAACGGGGCCTAAGACATTCGGAATTGAACCGATGACAGTGACAGATAACCAATTTAGAAAGATTACACTGCACAAATGTTTGTGTTGTCGATCGAATTGCTTTTCCTTTAAGATGATTATGCTCCGGGAATAAAAAATGAAAAGTCGGGGGCAGACGGACGGCTTGGACCGCACTTTCAATTAATCCGCGACGGACGTCTCAAATTAATCCTCGCGAAAACACTAGCCATTTTTACAAAACACGTTATACCCCAATTCCACGGTATGCGATTCGGCATACCGCACGTGACCACGCGCGTCCAAACACTTCCAAAGTCGATTTTAATTTTCGAACAAAAATGATGTTGCGGGAAATCCGCGCGACAGCAATTAGGCCGCTAATTTATGCGAGTACTGTTCTGTTTGCAGTCATTGATCCGAGGCCTCGCTTGAAAATAAATGTTGTTGTGATTGAGTGGGCCGAGTCTTAACTACATTTTAATCAGACTCAATCTAAGACACAACTGTGATACAAATTTATACAAGACTACGTTACATTGGGCTTGCCTCAATTCCAAACAACCAGCGAATTATTCAAGGTGTTGACGGGCGGTCGCACCGTGTACCAACCTCGAGGCCGGCTATGTTGAATGTTCAGTTTAATGTATTGACAAGTATGTTATCTCCTGTATACGATTCTAATGGCGTTCTTTATTTATTTCGGAACGTGTGGAGCATTTTTAATGGGGGGGCCGTTAGGACTTTATGGATTTTAAATACGGTCTAATCAGGTTTCGCTGATAAACTCGTTGGCTTTGGCCAGATTATTAATCAGACTGCGCGACGACGAGCGGAAAAGGGTCGCCGATGTACAGGGTTTTTCATCGGAAAAGTACAGGCGGGTTTTTTCGAGTGCGCGCTATTTTCACCGGGTTTTGTGGGTATTACGCAGTTACTTTGGCACTTTGATATTTAAATTAGTGAGATTAATCATCGCTGACAGGTTGACTGCTTACGTTTCTATTTTTTTCTTAAATTTATTTCACTGTGATATATTTATTAATTAGTATGTTGGAATATAATTAAGCTAATGATTTAAATGTCAGCTGCTCTTAGAATGTATACAAATTATCTCATTTAATTGTGTCTTAAAATGTACTGTTCAAATCGCTATAAATAATAAAAGCGCAGCTATGCACAATTAATTAAGCTAGCAAGAAAGTGGAGAGATAGTCAATATATTACTGTTCTGTCCACTATCCTATAGGTAGCCGAGCCTAGATTAGTCAGCACGTGCATAAGCAATAATGATTTTTAATTAAAACTACATGTCTGTATTGGTGTGTTATAAATAAATCCCATTAGGAAGAAAAATTGAAAGCATGAATGTTGTTAATGGCAGTAGTCGGAACCATTACACAGGAAGTGTCACAGAATTTTTT